TCCACTAAGCAACATGGGGTACGCTGGCAAGGAAATTGTCATACCTACTTGGCTAATGGCTCCCAGCAAACCCTCTGTCATAAAAATTCATTTCAAGATTGCTATGGTTCAAATCTGTCCACTTCAAAACTCATGTTGAAAATTGTCATTTGTCACAGTACTAAAATGGGGGACTTTTTAGAGGTGTATAGGCTGTGAGGGCTTCTCACTCATGAAGGGAATTAGTACCCTCATAAAAGAGTGAGTTTGGTCCCCTTTTGACCTCTCTCACCTTCTTATTTTCCTCCATGTGATCCATCACACACTGAGGAGGCCCCTGCCGCATGCTACCACATTGATTTGGGAATTACCAGCTTCCAGAACTGTGAACTAGTGAATTTCTATTCAATATAAGTTACTCAGTCTATGGTGTTATATCATAGCAGCACAAAACAGACAAAGGCATCGATCAACATTATTTTCAAATTCTTTTATATATCTTAGTCTTTCTCATTTCCTTGCTATTCTATTGTTCAATTTGGATTTTTTCCTTGTGTATTAGCCACATTATTTAATTGGTTATGGATTTATTATAAATTTCAGAGTTGGAATAAAGTTTGTTTCTGCCTTCCCTTGATGATTAGTTTTAAACATGTCTCTCTTGACTTTTTTCTAGCTTTTGTTCAGAGATTCTCTTGGTCACCTGCATTTGCCCTTTGAGAAATATTTTGAGAAGATATATGTGTTTAATATGCTCTTGGGGCCTCTCCTGACTTGACCTCAAAGATCTCCAGAGAAAACACAATTATTCCCAGTATGCTATAGATACTTTCTGCCCCTCTGCCCCAGGGAGGAGTTTTATAAAAACACTATAACAGCACACTAGAAGGATATGTTGGCTTGTACACATTTGCCTCTGTTAAATTGAATTTTGTTCATTTGTTTCTTCCCTCTCTTCCCCGATTCTCTCTTCCTTCCCCCTTCATTCCTTTTCACTATTTTTCTTTTCTCTTGAACCAAGTTAATTTGGTCGTGTCTTTATCATACGGACAATATCTTTATTTTATAGTCACCAATGATCTCTGATTTACACATTCCAGTGGTATTTCTCAATGTTCATCTCATCTGAGCTAGCAGCTGTTTTTCCTTGAGGTACTTTCTTCTTTTGACTTTTCTGATACCTTGATTGCCTGGTATCCCTATTAATTTGTTAGCCATCAATTTTTCTCCCTTTTCTGACCTCTGAATGTAAGAATGCCCTTAAGCTTGGTTCTTGAATTCCCCTTGTTTCTTTGGTCTTATAACCCTGTACTTTCTCCTTCATTCCTTTACTCAGTATACTTGGTGGGCTCCTTATTTCTAGAAATGGTAGATGTACTGTTGCATGAAGATGTAAACACTTTCCTTTTTAGTCTTCTGGAATACTCTTCTCTCATCTACACACATGGTACACTACCATGTGTGTCCTGGACATAGCTAGACCATGAGCAGGCACTGAGTTGCATCAAGGTTGACTCTTCCAACAGTGATTTTGGATTGAGGTGAAAAAAACTTCCTCTATTGATGCCAGGATGCTGAGAATTATCCTCACTTGCTGTGTGATACTGGACTTTAAGCATCATTACTATTACTTTTTCTGCACTGTAGATTTCTTACATGTTAACTAAGGATTACCCCATCTTCTTCCTAGTATTACTTCAGTGATACCATATGGTCTTTTAAACTGCTATTAGAGGAGGCATCAGAGAATGAGTTATTTCTAAATATTAGTTAATTTTCCTTTCTGATTCTCAGTTCTCATATCAAATTCCTATATTGAGTCATTGGTGTGTTTCTTTCCCATAGGCTAAGCTGTCCTTATGATTTGGAAGCCCCTATGTTTCTTTGTATGTTATTGATCATTATCACTAGTGTACTATTTATTCATTAGAATTAAAAAAATAAAACAAAATAATTGTTTAAGAAGACTTCCATTCCTAACATATGACAAATTGTCATTTAAATAATTCAATTTTAGTTCTAATACATGAGATTAGTACATGACTTCTAGGTCACTGAGAATGTTTTAGTGGTTGAGGAGTGAAATAGCCTGCTTCTAATGGTAAAGTATGATTAGATGAAGGATTCTTCTGCTTCATAAGTGTTATTTGGCTTAACATTTTTTTTCCCTTTAAAACATTGGTGGGGCTGGGCGTGTAGCTCAATGGTAGAGAATTTGCCTAACATGAGCAAACCTCTGGGTTTGTTGATCCCAAACACCAAAAGAAAAACTGCCAGAAAAATTATTTTCATTATTTCAATTACTGCCCTAGATTATCTGTAAGGTAAATTTATGAATATCAAAATTATTGTTATTTAGTGATTATAATTATAATCATAATAATAATTTTGTTATTTTAATTAGTAATATATATATGAAGCTTATTTATACACTTAATATTTTATATTACAGACAGTAGAGATAAATAGTCTTACATTTTCACTTAATGGCACAAGATACATTATTTATTAAAAGCTGGATAATATACAGTCTCCTCCATTTGATGGTGGTCCATTTAAGCAGTATTAGTAAAAGTGCATGATACCTTTTTTTGAGAAATGTCTAATGAGATTTATTGCCCATTTTTCCCATCTTTTAAATCATATATATATATTTTTTTATTTTGGCTACTGAGATTTGGAAATTTCTTATCAATTCTGGGTATTAGCCCTGGTTTAGACAACTTTTCACTGCTGTGTACAAAATACCTTACAAGAACAACCTAGAGGAAAAAAAAAAGTTTATTTGGGCCTCATGGTCTCAGTCATTCTGACTCCATTGCTTTGGGCCCAAGGTGAGGCAGAACATCATGGCAGAAGGGTGGTGTAGTGGAGGAAAGTGGCTCAGCTCATGGCAGGCAGGAAGTGGAGAGGAGAGAGAGAGAAAGATGCCAAGGACATAATATAAACCCCTAAGGCATATCCCCTACTTTCTCCTTTCATTCCCTACCTGCCTTACAGTTATCACGCAGTACAGTAGTTCTGTCAAATTATTGATCCATCAAATGGACTAATCTATTGAATAGGCTATAGTTCTCATGATCTAATTATGAGTTCAGAGGACACCTCATGTCCAAACTATAACAAACCCATCGTCAGAGTATAGTTTACAAATATTTTCTCTCACTAGACAGGTTGTCTCTTCACTCTGCTATTTGCTTTGCTATGCGGAAGCTTTTTAGTTTGGTGTGATGCCATTTGTGTATTGTTGTTTCCTGTGTTTTGGGGACTCATCTAAGATATCCTTTCCCATTCCAAGTCCTAAAGCATTTCTAAGAGTAAAATTTTCTACTTACTGTATTTTGGCAATAGAAAATTATTTTAATCCCATAAACAACATTAAACTAATAAGAAATTTATGTAGTATAAACTTGTTGTTATTAACCTATATTATGACAAAATATATACCTTTTTACAAACTGTGCCATTGTCATGTAATCCCCATGTATGTAATGGCTCCGTGTGTTCTCTCTGATTCATTTATAATAATAGAGCACTGCACCTCCTGCCTGATCTTTTTATTCTGTGTACATTACAGTAGCAATTTACTTTGTTAATAACCTTGAACCAAAATTAATGTCCCAGATATAAATTTGGATTGAAAAACTCTAAAAGATACTGAAGCACTCTCACCTTGAGCAAATAATGTACCTTTTCTCTGTGGTCTTCAATTTCAATCCCATCTTGTAACAATTAACCACTTAGGTAGTTGCTATTACTGTGTTCAGCTACCAAGGAAACAGATTTTTCTATGTTAATAGAGAAGTGATATGTATGAGGTTCAGCAGGCTTTTTGGAAACTCATGGAGTTTTAAGAAATGAAAAGACTAAGCCTCTTAATGTCCTTAAATATATAAGGTAGAGTTAGATATGCATCAGTTTATAGCCCAAGTTTCACTTTCAAAGATGATTAGAAAATGACTCTGAGAATGTTTAGATCAACCATAATTTATTTATAAGTATGATATTTGGAAACTACTTTCTTTTTTTGGAGAAGCAGATTCAAGAAAGTAAATCATATAATTATATGATGGAAAGGTCTGCTGATCATTAATCATTTAAAAATACTGCTATATACAATAGGAATATCAGCAGTAGTTTATAAACTCAGAAGAATTTCCAATATATCCACTGATTATACATTATGTTGATAGTTTCATTATATTATAGATGAATTGAGTTAACTTTTCTAAAATATATTTTTATAAATAAGTAGCATTGATGGAGAATTTATATGCCAAGGTATGTTATTTTTTTAAATTTTAATAACCATATGAATTAAACTGCATTACTACCCCATGTTTCTGAAGCCAAGTTCTCTCTATATATATCATTGAAAATCTTTAGATTCAATGTGAGTATCAGTGAATCTAAAACTTAAGTTATATGTAAACATGTACACATATATTATACATCACATAACCTTATATTCATATATATATATATATATATATATATATATATATATATACACACACACACACACAGATACATATGTGTCTGTCTGTGTGTATGTATACTAGATATCCCATGCAAAGCAGTGAACAAAAAACAAAAACTTATGGCTTGTCTGGTAATCTAGGGAATTAATGAATATCAGAAAACATGAGCAATATGAGTCTTCATCTTTCTAAAATTGTTATCTTAAATACCTAATACCTACCTCATTTTAAAGTGGGTTTTCATTATTTTTTCATCAATGCATCTTTTTCTTTGGCATTATCTTTAACAAGAACTATAAAATGTTGTTATGGTGTAGATGTGAGGTATCTCCCAAGAGCTTCTGCATTAAAGCAGGAATATTCAGAGGTGAAATGAATGGACTGTGAGAGCTGTAATCTAATTAGTCCATCCTAGTTTAAATGGACTGACTGGATGGCAACTGTAGCCATTCCTTGGGTGTGGGTGGAGGAGGTGGGTCACTAGGGGGAGTGCCCTGGGATGGTTAATTTTCCCTAAGACCCTTTCTCCTCTCTCTGTAGGCTTCCTGGCTGCTGTGAGGTATGCGGATCTCCTCCAACACATCCTTTTGCCAGAATGTTTTGCCTCACTTTGGGCCTAGAGTAATGTCAGCCAGCCAAGTACTACATCTATGAAACCATGATCCCAAATAAAATTTTCCTTTTTGTAATTGTCCTTGTCAGGTGTTTTAAGTTTTTCCTGAAGGTCTCCACTTATTTAAAGAAAAATACTGGAAGATGGAAGTGATTGGCAGGGACTGTGGTTTGCCTTTATTGTTGAAAGTTTTTAAAGGTTCAATATAGTTTTAAAAGAAGTCCCACTTTAAAAAAATGTTTTTCATTTTTGTTTGCAAAATTACTTGGACAACCGTTTAGGATTCCTTCAGTTATTATGTTCCTTTATACTCTCTTATAACTATTTAAAATTATTTGTTTATTATAGCACTTATTTGAAAAAAAATATATATACACACACACAATATTGCTTTTTGAGACAAAGGAGTGCCAAACTATTTTTTTTTTTAACTCTAAAACTTTGCCTTTATTTTCTAAAGTATTCAAGACAAAGACATTGAGTGCCTACTGCTTGTCAGGTGCTTTGCTGGATGAGTGTATTATAAAGCTGAAATCCAAAGAATCTCTGCCTTAAGGAGCCCTGAGACTAGTGAGAAAGAAAGCAACCAAACCTACTTGAGAATTCTGAAAATGTTTTCTAGAGGTTGAGATATATCAGATAGGCCGTAAATAATTAATAGAATCTCTTTAGTAGGTGTGGAGCAGGGAAGGAGAAGGGGAGATGGGGAGAGAATGTGCAGAGAGACATGGAAGCTTAGGAGAACATTTGGCAAGCACCTGCCTATGGACCAGCAACAAAATGCCCAGACGCTGAGCCTGAGTAGGCATGTATATCCAAGTTGTCTTTATAAAACATGCAGATATTTTAGCTTTTTCCCCTTTTTTTCACTAAGTCTGTGGTTCTTAGTCTAAACAATGGGGAGTTTTCAGAAATGTTCCTCTGTCCTGACCAAAAAATAATAAATAAATAAATAAATAATTTGAAAAATTGATAGGCATGAGGTTATGTGTGTTAAAGAATGAAAGGAGATTCTATTAGCATTTTCCAGAACAGAAGAATCATCTCTATCTCTTTGTCTTTATCATCTATATCTACGTGGAGAAAGATTTCTTTTTTTTTTTAATTAAAGAAATTGACTCACATGATTGTGGAGGCTACGAATCTAAATGCTTCAGTTTAGACTGACATATTGGAGACTCAGAGAAGAGTAGGGCCCAAAGGCAGACTGCTGGCACAGATTCTCCTTCCTCAAGGGGTTTTAGTCATTTTTGTCTTGAGACTTTGAACTGATTGAGTGAGGCCCATCCACTTCTTGGAGGATAACATGCTTTACTAAGTCATTGACAAGAAATATTAATCTCATTAAAAAAAATACTTTCACAGAAACATCCAGAGGAATGTTTGAGTAAATATCTGGGAATCATGGCTTAAGAAAGTTGATACATGAAATTAATCATAACAAAGGCTGAGCAAGAGCACATATCAAGTAAATTCTCCTGGTGAATAACTTGGAGTCCCTCTTGGAGTTCTGTTCACATTTTAAGGGTTATCTTAGTCAGGGGATTGGTAAGTATATTTATTCTCTCCTTCCTGCAGTTATTGGATAACAATGGCTCTGAGGGGACACAATTCTCAAGTTCTTATGTGAGCAGAGAAAGCAGTCCCAGTAACCTGGGAATATTCTTCTAACAAAGAAGTTTAAGCAAGTTCTGTCAAAATGATGACACCCCTGTCACCAGTGTGTCCCCAGAAGGAAAGAGATCGATGAGGTATGGTGGATCACCAACAGCATCAGTATGCACAAGAGTTGGGGAAAGAGCTGAGGATTAAGATACAGAGCAAAGCTAGAGCATGAAGGTTTGGGGACACATCCAAGAATGTGGATTTCATGTTAGTGTCATTCTTTATTAGTGCCATCCTTCTGGGAGATTATTATTTGAAATAATTATTTGTTATTCCTAGAGTCTCTAATTCGAGCCTTTGGAGATTAGGTCCTGTAACCTGGTTTAGAGTCATTGTTTCAGGCTTAGGGAGCCCTGACAGTCTTGCACAAGTACAGAGCATGATTGTATTTACACTCTACAAAGTTTATACTTGGAAAAGTATGAAAGAAGGCTAAAGGAAAGGAGAAATCCTATTTTACTGCATTGAAGCAACAGGTAGGATGACATTAGATAGGAGGAAGTTGCAGGATATATGTAGCAGCACATTTTGAAAAAGCTGAAGAGGGACAAGGAAGAGAAGGATTAGTTAGTGATAATTTCCAAGTCATTGGATTGGGAGATGGACATGCTAATGATACTAGATCTTGAAATATAGAACAGGCAGGCAGAATTTGGTGGGAAAATCATGAAAAAGATTTAAGGAGTCAGTAGGACATTATGAAAATGAAGCTTTTTTTTAGCCAGTTAGGAGAAGAGTGTTGAATAGAAAATTCTAAAGATAGAGGTATTTGGTTATTACTGTCAATCATGCTAAACTTATCCTTCCAAGTATTTTTGTAATAAAGTTTTGTTGGAGCACAGGCACAATAATTTGTTTATGTGTTATCTGTGACACCTTTTGGACTACACAACAGAATTAAGTATTGAAGACCTCTGATGCAGATGTATAGTGTTTTAATTTTTTTCTGAACATATTTGATATTAATTACTTCAGAAAACAAATTTAAATTTTTTACTCTACATTGGTATAAATGAACTTGAATATGTCCATTAGTTTCCAATCAATATCAAGATTGATTTGCTTCTCTTATGTATGTAAAAGCTGATGGGAGAAAATAGGAACAATGTGACTTGAGTTTAAGGGCTTTCTGGGAGTAACAGCATGCAATAAATAATGTACAGGCCTCAGTGTTTTAATTTTTATATGTAGATAAATTGGTAAAAGGATGTGTGTGGTATGAAGAGAAGTGACAGCAAAAATATTTAAAGTCCAGGAAGAAAGAAAGGACGAAGGAAAATAGCTAAAATCTGCAGATCTAGTGAAGAATAAGACAGCTGTAGTTTTAAAATCTTTATTTATCTATGTCATATCTCTGTTTCCTAGTCACCAAATAAGCTGAATATAGCTAGAGAAACAGGGAAAGTACTTGTTTCCATTTTCTTTCTTTTCTCTCTCTCTCTCTCTCTCTCTCTCTCTCTCTCTCTCTCTCTTTGTGTGTGTTTCTTTCTTTTTCTATAACACACTGAAAATATTTTGTGGAGGAAATAACAAAGATCATTCTGGAATAGTTCTAACCCTCTCAGAAGAAGTAAGAAGAAATGTAAGCCCCTCAGAGACCTCGAGCCCATTCTGTGTCTTAGCTGCCTGCATGTTCTGCAGGTGTGTATCAATCACACATTCTGTTTGGCTTCCAAATTTCTTTTATCCTCCACTATTTCCCTTTTATTTAGTCCATATGGGTTTCTCCCCAGATAGATACAAAGAGCACAGCATTTTGCCCAGGAAATAATATCTTGTTTCCTTTGCCAGGAGCTGTCTTATTGCAGCAGTAATATAAATGTGCAGCCTGTATTAGATACCAACCAGCTTGTCACTTGTTTGAAAAGGAGCCCTCTATTTGACTAGAAGAGACAGGGGCCAAATGAGCCTGATTCTTGCCTATGCTGCCTGGCAATGCAATTACAAGGTTGGGGGCTATGGAAGGACACAGCAGTCACTCACCCCTGCACAGGTATTATGTCCTTCAGACCATCCTTGGTGTGGGGACTCTCCCTTAGCTGGCTAGCCAGGTGCTGCAACATGGGATTTCATAAATGATTGTCTTCCATTGGTGGTTTGTTGAGGCTTCTGAGCAATTTTTGAAAGGGATAGTTCTTTTCTTCTTTGTGTCCCCTGATAAGGTCTCATGGTTTCTGTAATCTTTAAAATTCATAATCTTTAGGTAATGCACTTTGCAGAAACAGCAGGAAAATGAGGATTCACAGACCTCCTTTTCTTCACTGATGAGTTTAAAAATGCTGTCGTTTATTTCAACTGTTGAAAATGGAACTTTCTCCCTATTTAAGCAGTGGTGTTCTCTTTTCATGCTGAAAAGCAATGAATTGTCAAAAAATGGACATCTTGCCATGAATAAAGATGACAACCGAGTGACTCAGAAATATGCGTGACAAGAGGGAAATAGTTTGAATATAGAGTTTATATACATTTCTGCCATCATCTTGGGGCACCAAACAAGTTTGATGGTAGTGGTTAGACAAGAGGTATGTGGACGGTGGTTCTCAGAGTGTTCATGATCCCCAGATCACCAACAGACCCTTCTCAATATGCTCTTGTCTGCGAGATTTTGATTCTCTTACTGGGGGTAATTTGATCCTGCCCCAACTTGGCAGAGCCTCAGCAGCCCCTACTATCAAAGTCTGCTCAGAGGAAAGAGTTGGAGATCACTATTGAAGCAGTGCTGTCTTTAGTACTAGAGTTAAATGTCCTGTGGGAACCCTTGTGGCAGCTGGAGGCTGATTCTAAAATTGGGGAATGAAACAGAGGTTACAGAGGAAGCCTCAGAGGTTCCTTGTGTTCAGAAAGTCCCTGTATCTTCCAGCAGAGCCATCATGGGTTAACATTATTCATTTCTTTGTCCTTAAAAATTGATGAATGAATTAAATGATATTGTTTAGAACTTTGAACATTGAGTAAGAACTCAGTAGCCCTTGCCATATACTATTCATATTTAAAACACACAAAGTACTGGTTTTCCATTGTTAATGTGGATATGATTTTTGCCCTATAATCAATTTATTTTTTAATTTGTTCATTGTTCTCTATCTATTCTTATTTTTTTCCTTATGAAGACTTTCTCAATGAGTTAATTTAGAGAGGAAAGGGTAGTCACTACAAAATTGCAAGTAACACACCCATGATTTCTGATGGATGCAGAACTTAAGTTGGCTTCAGTACAGTACCACCTACATTCCCTGATGGCTTTAACACAGATCACAGAGATCACAGGTCACAGGTCTGAATTTCCCCATGTGTGGCTATAAATCTTCTTTCCTTTTCACTTAAGAAGGTAGTTATAAATGCTGGAGTAAAAGAATAATGTCATCAAAGAATAACATTATGATCATAC